CTTGGATTTTTAAGCTTACTGCAGTTTTTAAAGCAAAAATACACAGTCACCTGCAGAGACCCTAGTTCTCTCTACTGATTTGAGTCCTGACTTCCCTATTACAGTGAACAACACTGACACTTCACACTGTACAAAGGATGCTGCAGTATTTAGATGTTAACTGTATCAACAGCTTCAAAGGAGCTCCTGTGAGTAATCGAACTTTGGTCATCAGTTATAATAACGACTCTCAGCTCTCCTTGAGAAGTCTGGTGGCAGCTTCAACCAAGACACATTTTGTTAACAAGTTTTCACATACCCTTGATTTCACTTGATGTCCTGTGTCTCACAAGAGATATAAGGTGTGTAGGTATCAATCCTGTGCTTCACAAGACATAATCACTGTTATATGCATCAGATCTTTGGCATTTCCAGACCGCCCATTTATGTGCTGATCCAGAGTACTCAAGGCTTTCTGTACAGACTCATTTGCAATGAAAATACTGAATAGTCAGCATATGACCAAAACCAAGTTCTAGGACATTTGTGTTTGTGAGTCTATTACTAAGCTACACACGCCTCCCATAATCACAGGCGTTAAGATGATTTTCCTCCCTCCCTTTCAATTTTAAAACAAAAGGATAAGATTGCATTATATGTTTCAAAGCTGCAGAAGGAAAAGTTGTATTACACTAAAAAATTTCAGACTAAAAACTAAAACCTGTCACTTTCTGCTACTACATGCATGCAAAAATAAGACTGGTATTTTTTGGGAGCACACGATTATTCTGGTTTAAAAAAGACCCACTTATGTTCACTAAATAGGAGAAGTGAGACAACAAATAACTATGACTGTCATACTGTCTTTGGCAGTCTGAGTTTCTGGGAATAACAAACTGTGACAGGAGGTCAGTAACAGCATTCTCACATTTTGCTAAGTAAGTTTTGTCTTTCACAAACCAGATGTCACAGACAGAACAGCATTTATAACTATTTTTTCTGAGACACTAGAAGATTATACTAGCACATTATCTTTACTGGAATCCTGTCTCACTACCTATGCTTTTGTTGGTTTATCTACAGTATTCCTACTTCTGTGAAAGAGTTATTTAATACACTTAAGTAGTCCCCTAACCATCACTCCTCCTTCTACTAGCAACACATTGCAATTAAATAACCTTTACCTAAAATCCAGATTTTCTGCTTCCTTCAAGATGCAGGCCATTGGACTGGAGAGCTGCCCCCCAAGACACATAGATAAGTGGTAACATAATGAGTCCAAACGGGTCAGTTCTCAGATTAGCTTTTAGGCAAGAAGCTTTGATTCACTTTCTTTTCCCCCATTTGCTGTGTTCTAGTTAACACCAAGATCAGAATGTAAAGACATCACTAAACTGTCACACCAAAGCCACATATGAGGAGAACCTCCTTATGTCACCATAAAGAACACTGGCATCTATGCAAGGGAAAGCAGAGCTTCCTTCTGTTTGCCAACCACCATCGATCGCCCCATGGGCTCTCAGACTTGTTCACCCACTGCCAGTTACCAATAACCAAGCAGTTCTACAAAACCTTCTCATGAAAGGGTGAAGTCAAGTGAACGATGGGAGCACGTCTGCAAGTCTTGGCTTTTCTGATCACTCCCTGGGAAGGCTTCAACTCAGATCTGTAATTACCTGACTCAAACTAGAGTCAAAAGGCGGGGAGAGAAGAGAGATAGCTGACTGTTTCAAAAGACACACTTGAGACAACTTACTGTGTAGAGGACACCGAAAAAAATAGCACACACAGTTTACTCGTGTCATATGTTTACAGGGGGTAAACTGCAGGTGGCTCTTTACCAGAAAGCAACATTTGCCTTGAACATTTGCCACAAAATTACTATTGTTTCAAGTCAAATTACTATGTCATTACTGCTGAATAATTTGAGTCAAGTATGCAATTAATCCATGTCACCAATACAGATAATCTGAAAAACATTACAGCCATTTAATCTAGTATTTTTTAAAGGAGGAAGAAGGAAGAGACAAAAGAAATTATTAGACTTCCAGTAACCAGAAGACAAAGCCTATTAGTCAGAGGCAAATAGAGAAAAGGAAGCCAGCCAGATAAGATGCAGACCCCTAGGGAGAAGCAGCCAGAGGGAAGCAGCCCAGTCAGGGAATGCTGATGAAGGCTGTTAAGGGGGTTCCTTCTTATCTTCTTGTGACTACCAAGTCCCTCAAGTGTTTACAGACTGTTCTTTCAGTCTCCCAAGAACTGTGGCTACCAATCCTGAGGATGAAAGGACAGACTGTTTTTCCAACATCCCATGCCTTTATTTTTACAGTCTCTTCTTACTCAGAGCAGAGTTTTCCTGTTACATTCACTACTACAGACCCATGTACCTAATGGAACAATAACATTGTTTCTGCACTTCGCAAATTCTTAAAAACTGCCACAACCCCACCACAATACATTTTATAGTGCTCCAAGGCTTTGAAATAAATTCATCAACACCTCACCAGCACCAATAAAGAAAACAGAGTGCTACAGTGTGGGACAGTTCTGAGCAGTACCTTGGGACTTGCACTCCTGCTGACTTGCAGCTGTGCGTCTCTTTATATCCAAACCACCTTTACATCGTTTTCTGCCATGAGGAAATGCAAGTTTAGAAGAGTTATGTCTATCCCCCATTCTTCCATCCCCTTTCCATCTACTTTATTTTCCACTGCCCCAGTACTTACACACGACATACAGGATTTTTTCCTGTTCCTTAAGCTGGATCAAAGAAAGCAGCAGAACCAAGCCTCTTCCTCATGCACAGGCAAATTTGCCAGAACAAGTCCCTTTGTCTTAGAAGCCTGTCAAATTGTCTGGCAGCCCCTCTTACTCAATATATACTTAACTTATTTCAGTGACAGTCTTCCAAAAGAGCTGTTCTTAGCTTTCTCTCAAACCCACCCCTTCACTTCATCTGATCACCTTTTTTTTAAATACAATTCACGCTAAATGGAAGCAAGATGTAATTATGAATGAATTTCCAAGATCAACAAATTATAAGACCTACTGACGCAAATCCGTTAGAATTTGCTATGAACACAACAACGTTCAATTCCAAAATAAAGCAAGAAATTGTGCAGAGAAGGTACCTAACCCAGCCTTAAAGATCCAGGAGCCGATTACAGACCACATGCAGGCTATCAGTCTCAAGATGAAAGCAATTTCAAAAGCATCACATTGAGCAGCCAAGTAGTATCAAAGCTGCAAGCTCCACCATTAATAGCTTTATGAAATTTTAAAAATATTATAATTCATGCCTGCATATAACTTATTAGGAAATAACCAGAATTTTAGAAATCAATACAAGAACTGATATTTGCCATAAGCTTGTAAAGCCAGTTGTACTTAGTAAATATAAACTAATTCAACACAGATCACAAGCTCTCCTCTTTCTGCTGATGTGCAGAAAATCTTTGCTTTAGACTGTATGCTGCCTTTCACGTAAAAGGTTATGACAATTTTCCACAGACCACTAGTGTACACCTGTGCAGGGAAGACTTTCAAGACAAACTACAGAACTGACAAGAACATGAAATATGACCTCTTTACTTTCACATACAATCTTAACCAAGGGATTACACTTCCTTTTCTGAGGATTATTTTATACCAGCAGTGTTCAGATGTGCTCGAGAAACACCAGTATTCAGGCATTCCCTCTTCCCATTGCTAGCCCAAATAAAACACTAATACCGTAGTTACATGTTAACTGTTTAACAAAGAGGCTCTTAAACAGATAATAACAACATAGAAGAGATGTCTTTTAATCAACTGTTCTCACAAGAAAAGACAAACCATGCAGCACAGCTGCAACTGCCAACGAGGCCCATCTGTAATTTTCAGAAAGGTAAGGCCATTCTGTGCTTTTTGTTTGTACAGCTATACCCCTTCTCTCAGAGCACTCAACCTACTACCCCTTTAAATTATGGAGCAGATATTACCATTTAAAAAAAAAAAAAAAAAGTTACCAGCTGTGGATCAATGCTGTTATTCTGATACTTGGCATCAGACCATTCAGTTATCAATGTAACATTCTGAAGGACAGCTTATCAGCAGTGTTAACTATTTAAAAGATAGTCAACAATTCTTTCCAGCAACCACAGCACTAATAGGAAAGGCATATTCTTTCAACCAATATTTGCTTGAAACACCGATTATGCAAGTTACACTTTAAGTTGTTATGAGTGGCTTATTAGTACCACCATAGCCCCAGAGAACAAGAGTGATTAACGCAGATTGCAGCGTTTGCAGGAAGGGTAAATGTACGTACTCAGGAGAGGGAGCAAAAGCTATAGTAAGAGAAGTGGCTGTGCAAAGGTGGTATGTTCAGATTACAAGAATCATCTTGAAAATAAATTGCTCTATATTTTCTCTCTCTTTTTCCTGAAAACACTATGAATATACATCTTCTAGCACTACACGTGTAAAGACTGGGCACGGATAGTTTTTGAACAAAGCAGCCGATCTCCTCAGCCCTAGGGGGAACGCGGTGCCGCACGCAGGGAGGTGATCTGTCGAGAAACGTTTTAGGATCTGCAGACGGCACACACCAAGATCAAAAAATAAGGGCGGAACAAAAAAAGTGAGCCAGCACCATGTCTTGGGGCAGCCGAGTTAGTGCCCGGCGAACTCAGCCCGGCTCGGCGGCACTCAGCGCTACGCGGCCGCTGCGCCGGCCTGCGCGGAGCGGGACCCCACGGACCCCAGCCGGAGCAGCCGCGGCACCGGGGGAGGCTCCGGCTGCCGGCCGGGCACGCCGGTACCCGCGGGCCGTCGCGGCGGCTGCCAGCCCCGGGGGCCGGGCGGGCTGGCGGCTCCGGGGGGGCCTCGCTGTGAGGGCGGCGCTGGGGGCCCCCAATGCCCAACCGGCCCTGGCAGGGCTGAGGGGCAGAGCGGCGGCCCCCGCCCCCACCGGGCCGAGCCCCCGGCGCGGCGCCCGCTGCCCGGCGCGGACGGGAAGAGACACGGTCCAATTCACTCACCTCCGCGGCTCCCGGCGAGACTGCCTCCCCCTCCCCGCATCACTTCCGGGGGTGAGCCGTCAGCTGGCGGCGGCGCAGCACGCCGCGCCATCACGTCAGGCGGCGTGCCCGACGCCGCACGCATGGTGAGGGCAGGGAACGGCAACGAGCCACCGCCTCCCTCGCCCACCGAAGCGGGGGGACGGGGCCTGACGGGGCGGAACCGCCGCAGGAAGGCGGGAAGCGGGGCCGCGGTGCGCTTCTTCCCGAAGGTAAAGCGTGGGGGTGGAGGATGGGCAAGCCGACACGCAGAGAAGATGGAGGGGAGAAGCTGGATGTTTGGGGGGTGGGGGTGGGTTGGCGGGGTTGGCCAACCCCCTGCGCTTCACGCGGTAGTTCCGACCGACTGCAGGGGCAGTGACGCCCCGGCCGCCAGGGGGCAGAAGGGCGCCCGTGCCTGCAACGCCCCCCGGCGGCCGGGCCGGTCTGGGGCAATGGCGGGGGGGCGGCCGACGCCATCTTAGCGCTGGCACCAGCCCTGTGCGAGGGGTCGCCGAGCCCTGCGGATACCCTGCTTTCACCCACAGTGCTACTGCTTGCCCTGGGCTGCGCAGCTTTCCCTGTGCCCGCCTAATTACACCAGTCGCTGCAGGAATGGCTGTGGGATGGCCTATCTCCCAGGCGGTGTGGAGAAGGTCCTGGGTGTATTGAGTCCTGACCCCCTCAGCTGGGCCTGCGGTGGCGGGAGACCTGGAGCTCACGCCGGGGAGGTGACCTCCCATCCCATCACCACCCGGCCTGCGGAGACTCTGAGGCAGACAGAGCGGCTCTTCCCCTGCCCCTGTGTTCCTCTGCCCTTGCACGGTCTGCGAGGCAGGAGGCCCCAAAGGCTTTTATATACACCATTCGGAAGAGTAGTGCAAATACTGCGTGAGGTTTTGTTGGTCAAACTCACTGGTTTGAATGGGATTCACACACTTGATTTATAAATTTTTTTTTGTGCCCTGCTATAGTTCTCAAATAGTGACTAAAAATCGCATCTGTCAGTGTCCTGGGACCGCAGTGTTTGGAAAGTGAAGCAGAAGGTTCATGAAATGTATTTTATTAAATGACCCACAGAACAAAGTAAGAAAGGGGGTAGGGAGGATTGTTTCTCTTCTAGCATTAATATTCATACCTGTTCTCGAGTTTGGGAGCATTTCCAATGCTGGGAAATACTTCTATTCATGCATTCAGTTGCATTTGGCTTGAAGCCAAGGTATGAATAAGGTGCATAAATCCATACTGAGTTTTGTGTCCATGTTGTTATATTTCTGTATGCTTCTATATTGTATAAATGAGGCCATGCAAGGATAGCTGAGACTTCATTTTCTGTACTAGATTTGTTGCACTGCATTAAAACCTCTTTCTCTGCTTGTAACTAATACAGAACTAAACACAAAGGAGGAGAAAATGGTTCTAAAGGTATGAAAGCATGAGAGACAGGGTTGCACATGACTAGAGACAAGTTTGTATTGCTTTAGAGTTTACCTGGACACTGTGTGCTTTTCAGGAGAAAACTAAGAAATATGTAAAGCAATATTTTTGTTTCCCCACCCCTTCTCCACACTCCAAGTCAGCATTTCTGTTCTTCTTGAGTCTACTATGGCACAGAAGGCACTCCCAGAGCAAGAGTCTGTATGTCCTACTAAAACCAGATAATGCTTCAACCACGTCAGACTAAGAAAATGAAAACTCGGTGATCAAGAGGGACTAGTTAAGGGTTTCCACTTTCATGTAAACAAATGAAGAGAATGTTGTAGATTCCTAATTTTCTGCAATTTCACTTCCTTGAAATTACATAGGAAAACCAGTGATAAAATCCAAGTCCTTGCTTTTACAATTTAATTATATTCTCCTTGCATGCAGTTTATTTTTTCTGATCAAAAGACCACTCCATATGTAAGAGAAAGCTTAAAAGAGATCCAAGTTCAGTCAGAAATCTGAGGCATGAATAGAATGGCAGACTTCTCATCCCAGCTGATGAACAGTGTAAACACAAAGACTTAGTGAGGCTGGTTCAGAGGTGTTGATCAGTGTTTCAGATCAGGGTAGGTTTCAGATCACTTCAATTTGCCATCAGAAATATACTGGTATGACAAAATCTAAAACCATGTGAAAGTCACCTTGCTTTCAGATATTACTGAATAATTTGATTCAGTAACTTGGTTCTTTTTCACCAAATCTGCATAGATTTATGATTGCAGCTTGTAGATCAAAACAGTGAGAAATAATTGGGAGTCAGATTAATTCTTAATGGAAATGTCTTGAAATTTACAGCCTTCCGTCACTGGTAGAAATGTGGATGTAACACCATCGTGGAAGGATATGATCTTTCATTTTAGTTGTTTTTCACCATGTGGAGATGGAATATTTTAGCTGTAATTTGAACTTTTGCTATGATTTGGTTTTGGCTGAATCTTAAAAATGCATGAATCAAGAATGAAAATCAAATTAAGTTTTCGCTCTGCTAGGCACATACTGCAGCCACATGTAGTTGATGTTTGCAGGGTACTAGCTGTCACAGGCCTCTAAGTCATGGATTTGAGTAGAAGAAGATAAAATTACTTTTGTGGAAACTGGATTTTAAAATTTAATATCATTGGAAAGTATGTGACCTGCCCAGCTATCACAGGGATCTGTGACCCCTTCTCTTCTCCCTGGGCCACAGGAACTCAGTTTCAGTTGTTGACCCTCAAGGAAATGACAGACCAAATTCATTGCTGCCTTAAGAACTGCAGGCTCATTTTGGCAGACTTGCACAAAAGATGAATACAGATTACTGACCTCTAGTTGCTGTGGATAGCTGTGAAAGGAATGATTGATTATCTGTTGCATTAGCAGCAGGAGAGAGACTGCAGGTCACTCTTTAGCTAAGTGGTATAATTTAGCTCTTTAAAAAAAAAATAATCCAGATATGCAGGTTTTGCATCACTTTAAATAAATGTTAGCCAAAGAGTGCATTTGAAAATATAAGACACAGATTGTCATACAGGCAGCAGCTGATGGATGTTCCATACTATAATGTTGATACACTATACTTTTTGTGTCATTTATTTCCATAACAGCAATGTGATCATAGCTTGATTCATAAGACAATCAGCACAGCAGTTTGTCACTGTGTCCTTAGGACTCCTTGCCAGTAGCAAACCAGCTGTCAAATAGAAGTTTTGTTGCTCCTAAGTAAAACATTTCACATCTGAGAAGTTCAAAGCCGCTTTTTCAAGTTATTTCACTAAGAGTTCTGTTGCCCATCATCTCCTCCCCCTTAGCAAATATGGTTTCAGCATCAGCACTAACTGTGTGTTACTAATGCATGCCCTAGTTAGCTGGAATGCAAAAGAAGAAATCTGTTGTTTTAAAATATCCTTTTTTTCCCTATGGACTATTACTTTCACCCTTTGTTTCTAAAATCCTCTATGTACTTGATGCTGGCAGATTTTAATGTTTAAATTGAGTAGCTAATGCTTGACTTGGAAAGAAAGAATGAAATAAAATAGACTTACAACTTCAGCAAAGGAGCTGTGCAGATAGGAGGAGAGTGCTGGACACGAGTTCTTAGCTGGGAAGCAGCTGTAATTTAGCTGCTTGTATCTTCATGCAGCTTGCCTTCTGTCCTAACTTTGCTTTGACAGTGCACTATTGGGGTCACTTTACATTGCAGTTGACAGCTTCCTTTCCTTATTTTTATATAAACTTTTAATTCTAATCAAACCTGCAAATAGCAAAAGATGACTGGTGTTTCACTGACTATTCAGATTATTGAACTTTTGGGTCAATCACCTAAAAATCCAAAGGAATGTGTGTTTGTTTCCTGAAAACTTTTTCTAAGAAAAACTTACTACATTTTGTAGTCTAAAAGATTATTTGTTTTAATTAACAATGGAAAAAGTTTGCATCTTCATCATGCAGTAACTCATTAACTGCTGATGCCTCCTTTGCAAATTTGGATACAATGGGATATTTCATGTGCTTGATCTGCATGTTGATAACAGGAGTTTGCATGTAGATCAAAAGAACGATACAAGCCTGTATTGTCAGAATCCTGCCACAGCATCCAGCAAATGCTTATTTGGAAGTCAACACTTGGCTTCCCTCCAAAAGCTTAATTCTAACAATCAGCTCAAAACCTGCCTGCAACCTACCACTTTTCCCATTGATAAGTTTGTGCATACAGACCTACCTTTGAACTCTCCCAGTTTGTTTTGTTGTAGTAAACACCTGAAATTTGCTCAGCTAATACAATAGCCCTGTACTTTTTGACAAAAACCCCTGTGGTTAACCTCTGTGGGCTGCATTCTGCAATGAAATGAAGGGCGGTAGAAGTTAAACAATGGGTGTGACTACCACAAGACGAGTGCTAGTGGGAAGGTGGTGTAACATCCACTTAGCATTCCAGAGATGGGAAATATAATTATGATTTAAATGCCGAAGATGTAAGTTGCAAGATGAGTAACTACAAGGACATGAAAGCCTCCCTTATCTTCCCTTCTGTCCCACTCAGAATCATTTTGCACACCCACAAAACTAATACAAGTAATGTCACTTGACAAAATTACACCTGATACATGACTTGTACTGTCACTTACATTTCTGTTGGTGTGGGCTCTGTTTATACCAAAGAAAAAAATTCCAATCTGATTTACAACATTTTAAGTTGGAAGTAATTTTGTTCTCAGTGGAATTATTTCCTATTTACACTCCCAATCAGATCAGAATCTGACCCAGGCTTTGAATTTTGTCCTATTTGCTCCCATCCTTTCCCATGATAGATAAGGGTCCTCTGTATATGAAGGGTTCCTCACATCTTTATTTATGTATCTTCACAGAAATGGTTTATGAGCAGGTGTGTAATGTTAGAAATTGTTGACTGAATGAGCCATGGAAGCAGCTGGATGCTGAGTATGTATGAAAAGCTGCTTAATGTCTTTTACATCATCTAGCATATGTGGGAAGGAGAGCAATAATGCAAAAATGCAACCCATGCCTGGAGGAGGGGCTACACAGTTCCGTATCAATTCGAACACCGAGAAATAAAAGAGAGAAAACGTAAGTTCTAGGTGGGGGTGTGTAAGCAACTACTGGGGGGAAAAAAATGTTGGTTCTAAACTTTTAAACAAAATCTTTATAAACAGATTCTTGGTATGTTTAAAATCCAAAAGCAACAGGTGTGATTACAGCTCTGTGCAAAGGGCATGCACTGTCCCAAGCTGTGGCCTTGGAAATTGTCTGATGCATAGATCGGAATTTAAACCTGTATTTTAAACATTTTTTCCCCTGACATTATTCCTCTTATTTTCTTTATGGATTACATTAAAAGCTGAAAATTTCTAGTGCAGTACTACCTTTTATTAGCTGTCAGCAGGGAACAAAGAGTATTACCAGTTCCACCAAAGGTGACACCTTCAAATAAAAGCAGAGGGCTGAGAACAGGAGGGGCTCTATGCAAGAACGTCATTTGGGACTCAGCTTATGCTAGGTCAGCCCTTGTAATTGAACTGTTTATTTTCTGTACAAAATATGTGACACAAGGAAGCAATGATTTTTCCAGTACATGTACATGCATAGCTTCATGTATGACTAATTTTATTGTCTGAAATGGAGCTGTAGAGTGGATAAAGTGAGGTATTTATTCCAATGTGGTTGATGAGACGGTACTACCTAGCTATTTTATTGTGGATATTTGTTTCCTAGCAATACCATAACCGTATGCTAGAAATACTTTCTGCTAGGTAGAAAGCATAATTTTAATATCTGGGGAAAAATATATATGATTGATTAAACACTAAAAAATAAAAACGTCCTGTCTTAAGAATCAGAGAAAACCAGTTTTATGTCACTAACAGAGTTCATGAAACAACAGAAAGTCTTTAGATCATAGCAACAGTTAAGACGAAAAAGGCTAAGATCTAATAGTTCGGGATGTTTTAGCAAAAAGAACCGTGGGCCAAATCCTGTCTTGAAGTTAGCATCTGTAATTCCAATTTGGGTGAGGAAAAGACGGTGCGACTGTCTGAAGCCACAGGAGGACAGTACAGAAATAGTAGCGGAGGTGACCTGCTGCGGTAGAGGCAGCCACTTGAGAACTGTATGGCCTCTGGTTCAAAACCCTCTTCTGCTCTCCACAGTAACAGGAACTGCCACAGACTGCAAGGAGATGAGCGATGGCTATAGTGCCAATCTGCAGTAGTTCAGGTGCATGCATGAGGAAGCAGCTTTTCCTCTATCACTGAGGGAGAGAGTGCTCCCTCCAGAGGGCAGTTCAGGCTGGCTGAATTACCCTGCTACAAATTGTCCTCCGGAGGAGCTATTCCCAGTTCACAGGTCTGATTCCAGGATAGATTCAGCCACAGTAACTAGAGCTCCAGGTTGGCAAATGAATCCTGAGACAGTCAGAAAATGTCCTGTCCTTGACACTTGTTCCTCACTGTATCCATATAGTTACTTTGCAGTGCTGCTGCATCTTCCTTTTAGACAGTAAGGTACCTTTGACAGTTGCACTGTCCCTAAAGCAGAAGTCATTGTTTCTGCAAATCTAATCCATGTCAGAAGTGTTGTTATTCCAGTAGTGGATTTGTCTCAGGGATATTTGTGGTCTGGCACAAAATAGTGTCACCACTTAAATGATAAAATACTCATTTACATAGAATAAGAATAGGATTTCATTTTTAATTTCTGACAGAGATTCTTGTCGCACCTGGAGGCTGATTCACTGGGCTCAGCAGGTACACAGCTCTGAAAATCAAGACATTCAGGACTTCCCTAAATACACAGCCTGCCTCTCCTGCAGTGCTTAGGTAAAATAGCTTTCATCACCTTTTCATCATATCAATCTCCACCTGAATCATTCTGTACTGTAGTGGTATCACAAATAAGCTTCTCAGCCTCTGAAACCTATCCTGGTCTTCAGCAGTATCATGGTGGTTTTATCATATATTTTATTCACAGATTTCAAGGTGCTTTGCAAAGATAGGGTCAGCATTGGTATGACAATTTCACAGGAAGGGGGATGCTCAGAGTTTTGGTGACTTGCCCAACATCTGTTGCAAAATAGCAGTGAAACACAACCTGGGCATTTTTGTACCAGGCTTGTGATTCAGCAAAGCACTAAAGCAAGTGCTTAACTTCATACTGGAGCTCAAACTCTTTGAATGGAGACAGATTTAAGTATCAGTTCAAGTACTCTGCTGGACTGGGTCTTCAGCTTTCAACAGCTAATTATTGTTTACAGCTATTTCAGGTTTTTTTCATATTTCAGAATATCGTTAGATGGTGGAAATATTTTTAAACTAATTCAATGGTGTGAAAAAGTGTACTGCTTACTGGCCTTTTAGCAACTCAGATGTTCATGCATATGTTTGGAGTTTTGTGTTGCTTTTTTAGATGACATCAGTTACTCGACAAGAAGTTCTTGGCCTTTACCGCAAGATATTCCAAATAGCCAAAAAATGGCAGTCGGCATCAGGACAGATAGAAGAAACTATTAAAGAGAAAGAGTACATTAAAAATGAAGCCAGAACATTATTCCGAAAAAACAAAAATGTGAGTGTCCTTACAGTTTTGAATTTTTTCTCCTCTTGCTCTTTGCACTGTCTCAGTGATTGGTTAGGATATGAATGTAAGAGTTGATTTCCCAAAATTTCCTTCAGCTTAAATGCTGGTGTATTCGGTTTGTACTTTAAATTTCAACCCTGAAGTAGCAATAAGAAAACTCAAACAATTTCAGCTCTTCATTAACTACTGTAGAAGTCTAAAAAGTCCAGAGCTTCCGCTAAAAAAATGACAAGAAAAAAATAAATTCCAAAGGTAGACTGCCTATGTAATTGAAGCAGCTTTTGATCTTTTAGAAAGCCAGCTAAGTGTATCAATACCCATGCAATGGCAGAGAGCTCAGTAGCTTCTTACACTTCTTTTTTTTTTATTTTCAAAGCAGTAATTACTGGCACTTCTTTTAAAAGAAGCACTTGAGGTTTTTATCTTACAGAAGAAATTTCAAACCCCTTTAGAAAGGGGCAATACAGACTCCATGGTAATCAAAGGTCCTTCTTGTAATTCAAGATCACAATACTTACATCCCATTTTGGTCTGGGACTAAACTGAAGTAATGCAAAATCAAAAAATGAATTAAAGTCACAATTTACCCACATTTCTGACTTCAAAAGGAGTTTCTGGATAGGATGATAGCAGAATGTAGACCAAAGAGTCTATTCCCTTCTCCTCTAGCTACTTTGTGGAGTGATGAATGGGAAGTGTGGGGTTTTTTATGGATGTATTTGTACTTTACATGTGTATTGTCTTTTTACAGAGAAAAATACCATGCTTGGGTAAAAATCTCCTTGTATAGCCTCAGTTGTGACAGCCTCTGGGCCTTAATATCCAGTGCCATCAAGTCCAGAACTGTTGATTAAGGCAAATACTAATGTTACCTTTTATGGATGTGAAAAATACAATAATCGTATCCTTGGGATTGCCATAAAAAGCTAAAGAAAGTCATGTGGGTGTGCATCATTTATGCTTGAGCTTCCAATTGCTAGTTGCTGTACTTGTACAAAACAGTTGTTTGTATGATCTTAGGTAACAGATCCAAAGTTGATTAAGCAGTGTATAGAAGAATGTGAGGCAAGAATAGAAATTGGACTTCACTATAACATCCCCTACCCAAGACCTGTGAGTATAAATCTAGTCACAAATTCTTCAGCTCTACCCACTCAACTATCACTGGACAATAAAACCATAAGTTCACATCACTGTCAGCACACTGCATTTTTAGATAAGCTGGTATTTAAATGCTATGCTAAATCAGAGACAAATAAGCCAAATGTGTATTTTAATGTTCTTCATCTATCTTCTTTTATTGTAAATTGGCTAGTTTCTTCTCAAAATAAGGTATCAAAGCCTAAATGGAGTTGCATGAGCTAAATTCCCAAAGCCTGTGAATATTTAGACGGTCTTGTCAGACCAATGACTGTAGAAAGAAGACAGTAATGGAATCAAATCTGTTAATCTTTTCCACATAATAAAAGAGTAAAAATACTTAATTACATCTGCCATAGATACAGTAATTTTCATAGCCTACACTACTGGTAACTATTCTGGTCATAAATCAGGTCTTACAAAGCACTTGCCAATGAGGTGCTTCTTTTCCCCTGTTCCTAGAGAAAAACATGTCCAAGATTACTGAAGTGCTGGAAGTTGCAGTAATGTCTTCTATTGCACCATTCAATATAGTTTCTTCACTGTGCAGTGACTTTTGTCTGTAATCATTTATGCTGCCTCCCATAGAGACTTCCTCTCTACTCCTGTTGATTAGTTTATATTTTCACATCTGTAGTTTCCTTATCAAGGCAGTCATGGTCAGAAATAAATTGTATCTAGATCAGATGCTTGCCTAGAATATGGTCACTGTTAGCATCTGTTTCACATACAGCTTTTTCTTTTTCTCCAGTATACAGAATAACAATGCACATCTGGCAAACAGTGATCCTACAAATGGACTTAAAATGTATGCTCTGCAGTGGTTTCAAAACCCCAGAGGATCAGTCCTAGATCAGCTCTCTAAGACAACCTATATGATCGTTATTTTTCAGATTCTAGAAATATCTATTGCTGCTTTAGTCAGTGCTTTTACTACTATTTGCACCTAAACATCTATCTTACAGGATGACAGCCTCAGCAACAATAACATCTGACTGCTAACACCTACATTTTTCAATCACTTAGGGGGGATATAGCTGCATGACTCCCACTAACAGTCTTATGAAATATAAAGACTTTGTCAATCAAAGGAAGAGCCTGTCACCTATTGCTCCTTCTGCTTGTGGAGTCAATGACATTGATTGTGCATTTTAATATGGTATATATAATCATGACAATAAGAAGGCAGTCTTTCAATGCATACAGTTTGGGGTTATTTTGTGACTTGTTAGGTAGCTATGAATAAAGCACACATTGCTTTAAGACATCTACTCAGGAATTTTTAGAGTTTTCTAGGTGTTACTGTTCTGGAACATTTTCAGCAGTCCTATTTCAACAAGTATTTTATCATTACAGTCTGGTATCAAGCTACAAAAAAAGGTTACAAAAGCCTAAAATATATAGGATTTTAATAAACACAACATTTGGGGCCTGAAAGTTACACCTCTAATCACTCCTCAGAGAGGGCTCCTCCTAGAAATCTAATAACCTGATTCGAGGCACTACAGTTGCCCTCTTCAAAGTGTGAAGAAATATTTAAAACTTAGTGAAACCTAGTCTGTATATATGCTGCCTTTTTCTTGTAGCTTCTCGATTTGCACCTAACTGGTAGGATTTTCTTTTCCAGATCCATCTGCCTCCTATGGGTCTTGCCCATAAACAAGGCCGTATGTTGCGACACCAGGAAAAGTTAAGGAAGATTTCTAAGCCAATATACCTGAAATCCCATGATGAAGTTTCATAACCCATCGTTTAAGATTTGATGTCTAATCACATCATTTAAACTGTGGACTACAATCCAGGTGGTTTGTGCTTACAACTGTGAATTAAGCTGTTTTGGTCACTTGGTCACACATTTCCTGAGGCCAGAAAGCTAACTGATACATTGCATATGATGGATAAGGTTGGTCTAGTATTTATTACATTTCAACCACTGACTCATCAATAAAAGTAACACTTTTCAAGGAGTAAGGTGTGATACGAAGATTACTTTGACAGCAAGATAAATTATATCAAGTTTTCAAACTGTTTAGCAGGGTTCTCTGGTGGTTTGAGGATTATATATGCTCAGTTGTGATTCAAGGCAGTGCCTTGTGTATGGGTCAGCAAAAATCAAGAAAGTTCCCAAGAATCAAGCAGACACTGTGCCTCCAGAACTTCCAAATGCAAGTGGGAATGCAAGTGGGAATACAGTGACTGCATCACACAGCTGCACTTTTTCCTCTCTTGTCCCTGGAGGAATATTCCAGTTTCACGGTATCCTTATGGTGAAATATTGTCTAAATGGACAGTAGCAAAGAGACAGCAGTAATGCCACCACTCCCTCTTTTTCCTTTATGCAAACTGCAGAGGAGTGGCCTAGAGCCTCTATGTCAGCTTTTTTTCCCCATTCCTTTGGAGAGGGTGTGGATGTGAAATGTGAAGTTTGGAATGCCATTACACAACTCAGAGTAAAACATTCCAGTGTTGGGTTCCTTAGGTTCCCACATATGGACTGACTGAAAACTCTCCTTTCAGGGTATCACTATGGGAGCAAACTTAAGATGCTTTGGCTGCCTTCACTGTGCATTTTTACATGGTTAGCTTTTCAACATAATCAGCACACTGGCTTCCTCAACAATTATTTTAGTACTAGGTTTTAACTCTTACATTACGGGCAGAACCCCAACTTTATTAAAAGAAAGTATATACAACTACCTCTTTAGTCTCTTAAGCTTGAGGGGTATTTCTGTTTCATAGGTGCCTCGAGATTGGAAGTGAAACTTCCCCCTCATTGGCCACCAATTGTTTTGGCTCCTTTTCGGTCCTCTGGCTTTACCAGGCTGTTTACAAATTCCCTTCCAGAGAGTTATTGGGGCCTTCTCTTTTTCAAGCTAGAAATACCAATGAAACCAAGCTGTGGACAAAAGCCACGTTGTGCTGGGAAACTACATAAGCACAGCCCACCGATGCTTTAAGGACAGAAGTTAATGGTGGCAAAAAAGCAAATTTGAAAAATGCAATGATATTACTTCTTATTAAAGTGGGAAAAAACAATGAAATCTTATTTTCTAAGCTCTTCAACTTATCCTTAACTCTCCAAGCCCTCACAGATAACGGCAAAGAAATATTCTTGTCTACCTTAAAAATAAAACTGGTCATGTGCAGAACAGAATGACAGTTCCTCCCCCAAGAATGTAAGAGTGAAAAAAAAATACAAGCAAATGAGAAAATACAAGGAAACAATGGGGAGAGTAAGTCAGCGTGACAGGTACTGGCTAGCCCAATTTCTCACTACCTTTTATGGCTCCAGTCCACAAAGGTACCTATTCTCATATAATTATTTCCTGGGAATGCCTCATGTGGGAAGTAACATGTAAAATGCCTGTCAGTGGGAGCTTTGCAAATTTACTGCTGCCAGGAAGACACAAAACAAAACTCCTTTAGCCTAGGAAAAGAGGGATGGAATAAAGACAGTAAAAAATAACATAATTATACACACTGCTTAATCCTTCATTGAAATAAGTCCAAATACAGTCTTTTCCTATCATCATTATCATACACCAGTGTAGAGATGTGTCAACTCAGCCAAACCAAAATGTGTAGAGAAGGGTTTTGAATGGAAGCTTAGGCTCATTCTTTGTCATTAAACTATCATTCGATTCTTTTTAATTGTTAAAATTCACGTGGCTAGTAAAAGTACTGATACTGTGACTCAGCAGGTGAATAAACAGCTATGTAAATGAGCAATCTAAATTTACTGTCTGTATTATAATCACAACTCTTTCCCGAGCACATACTGTAAGATGTAGATTATTTCAAAATAACATTCCTAAAATTACAGAAGATTTACACCAAATAGAAATAACGGTATGAGTTTATTTCTGAAGGGAAATATAACTAAGCAATTTTCAAAAGGCTCAAGTAGCCTTAAGTTACTCAAATGAGTATCTACTTGCTTAGCTGAAAAACCAGTAGGTTGACCAGCAGTAACAGCATCACATTATTTGAGATGATTTAAAATGCTAGATACTGCATTCATTTTTCAAAATAAGTGTTTGACAAGTTATTAACTAGTGCCTGATCCTCAATACTTTCCAGCACCAGAAGGCAAAGACTAAAATTTGCTAAAACCTCAGGTTGTTCAGCTACAGGAAAGATTAGATCAGTTCTTTTTTCAAGTCTGGAGAGCAAATCCCTTCTTTCGCAGCTGTATGGAAAAGAGAATCTGCCTTAGAGCTCTTTGGTTTTGGAGGTCAAACTGGCAAACTACCATTTTGAGGGAATTTCATAAAAAAAAGTTTCATCTGCAACCTAGTCCAGCGGGTAGGCAGACATCTCAACGGGTACTCACTGTATTAAATTCCAGGGCTGTCAAGAAGTATCCCAATGATGGGACAATGTTATTCTTACACATTAATTTTACTTGCAAAAGATGCTGTCCTAAAATGCCTCCTGAGTTCTCAAGTTTGTAATGCACTGGATTCAACCAGTCAGTATACACTCTGTCCTGTACTTTCTTAACTTTGTCTTACTCCTCTTCCAGTAAATACTGTCTCTTTCAAATTTGTCACACTGGTCAGGAGATGCTTTAGAATAACTTAGAATAAAAGATGACATTAACTTTTTATTGTTTAGAAATAAAATCCTGAGTCAGTCACATGAACTCTCCTGCAAGCTAACTGGTAGGCAAAGCAGTAGTGATTAGTTGACACAGTATCTGGCCTTTAGTATATAACACCTCTTCTCTGGAAGTTCTGTCCTAACTCCACCATTAGTAAGGTTGTAATTCACAAAGCCATGTGATTATGAAAACAAATTTAACACTAACATTAGCAAGCACACAATCATTTGAGTAGATGGACTTGGCGCCTGCTTACTGAATGTACCCCCCAGTGTTTTCCAGGGGTGAGGGAATGCGCAATAAGTTGCAGCAGTGACCCAATCTATTCCAAGGGAAGCATCACAGAACTGAAACAGGTTATCATCTGATCTATCTTCCTACTAACAGAAGTTTGGTTTTGTAATACGTTTTAGCTTGGAGAAAATAAGGCAACCTGGACCTCAGTCTCTTGGGGCCCTGCTACATATTCATCAGAAATGAGATCAGTAACATCCATCTTTTATCCACAGACAGGCCACTTACTGATCATACCTATAAATTAATTTTCAATAATGCTAATTACAGGACAGACCTGCACCTTTCACTAATTTTTCTAATCCTCTTAGGCAAAACATTCTACCTTATAGGAACTTGTAAGCAGAAGAATTTGGGGCATCTGTCTTACAGCATCCCTAGCTGAAAAATCTGTCTTTGCTATTTCAAAGGAAAAAATATCTCTTGCTCCGTAATGTCTGTATACTGCATTGTTTTCCATCTGCTTTGAGTTATTAGCAAGGCTGAATGATTTGCAGTAATTACAGGTGTTCTGTATGGTTTATTTAGTGAGAGCTAATTAAGAAATGGAAATACTAAACCTGTAAAGCCAAAAATTCTAATACTACTATTAGAAGGTACTTCATTTGTCCAAAAATTTTTCACACTTGTATCATTTCCAACTAACAGCTGAGTTGCCTTTTTTTTCTTTTAATGCATCTCAGCCAAGTAAGGTTGTGAATTCTAATGTTTAGCCAGCTTACCATTCTTCAGGAAGGCCTAGACAATGCTCAGGAAATAAGGTTCGGAAGCTCATTTTAAAGAAGCACAGAAAAATATCTCTAAGACCAATATCCCTCAACAGTAAATTCCATTACTCTTTCTAATAGTAAGGACATCCCAGGAGATCACGTACTTCAGTAATCATCAGCTAAAGCAAGTCAGCCATGCCTGATCCCTGGTGAAGGGGCAAGCAACAGATGCATGAACCCTCTTTTACAGACTTATCTATATATTTTGGTCACATCTACAAAATGCATCTTTAATTACATTCTCAGAGGTTCTTAGATTCTCAAATCTAAACATTAACAGAAGAAGCATTTAGAAAATCAACACAGTAACACGCACATTGCACACAATGGAGTAGCAAATCTATTATATATTCACAAGAACCACAACTGTGTCGTTTAATAAACTATCCATTAGCATTTGTTCGCAAAAAGCTATTAACAAAGCTATTAACCTGGCAAGCTATCCCACAGTATTTTCCAACAGTTTAAAAGTCTTTTATCTCCATAAAATATAATTTAGCTAGCATATACTAGTGAATCTGGCTTTTATTTTAAAATGGCTTAATTTAGAGCACTGCATTTGCAAGACTAGCATCATCCGAAGAAGGGTGGAGAAATTCAATCCTCAAATTTCAACTTCTCTTCATTTGAGTGTTTTAAGAATGATTACTGTTACCCCAGCTTCCCTTTCATCAGTGCCTCAGCAGCAACAGGTAAGCTGTCACCAGTCACTTGCATGCATAAGCTCAAACCTAAATAGAAAGATCCTTTTGAGAGCAGCGACTGAACTGATCAATCCACAGGGAAGGATCTAACAGCCAGGTCCAGCCTCTTTGGCCTGTATGCAAAGCACCTAAAAGAGGAGGATTGGGACTGTTTTTTTACCTCTGATGTCACAATGACCTAATTAGTGATCTGAATTGTTGATATGATCACAAAAATTAGATGCAGCCATTCAAAAATATGGTAATTACCACAATGTTTGTTTAAATAAGTAGTAAATTTCAGTTAGTTTTAATTATATGAAGGGTACAACATATCTGTGTTACTTTTATGAAGCCTAAGAAAAGCCAATTTTTTTAAAGTACCAATTTTAATTAATCTTTATTATAGATCTTCTATAATAGAGTCATAAACATGACTCTCGTCTCAAAAATTGTTGTCAATTTGGATGACTGTGCTATAACATTCATAAACAAGTTTTATTTTTGCTACAAGTGCCAAATATCATTTAGTCTAAATTGTTAAGAGTAGTTTCTTCCTATGAGTAAGCTGAAGCACCTGGACATCTCTGTCCCCTTTATTAAAACAAATATCAATTTCGTGTCCTGGCCTGACATCTTTGCCCTAGTCACCACGTAACAATAATGATGCACCAAATGCCTGCATACACTACTGTTAATGAGGCATCAAATACAGTACATATGTACATGAAGATACTGTACTAATTACCTATGTATATCTTTGTGCAGAGCAACACTGTACAACATACCTGTAAGACTTCTTGCTTACCTGTATGTTACCATTCTTAAAAGTTACTATTTAATGAATATCTGTATAAAACAGTGGTTAGTAAAACAATAATGATCACTGGTTTCACCTATAACAGCTAAGCACAACACAACAGATAAATTCCTATGACAGGAACCATATGTTTTAGTGAGCTGTGGCAGCATTACTTAATGCTTGTAGCAGGATACTGGGAATTGCTGAATTATAGCTGCATTTCTGACTTTGTGAGGCCTCAAGCAAGTCATTAAAATGCTGCAATTTGGTCAATGAAAAAAAAATACAAGACCTCAAATTAGTGGATATTTATGCAGTGGTTTTTTTTTTTTTTTAATGTTTGCCTTGATCTTTGTGCTTCTTTTGTACTGTGTACACAATAAGTCTAATGATGCATCGGTAGTGCCTTCTTGGCATTCTGCAGGGATTAGTTAATGACTACACAGTTCTTTGAAGATGGTCAGGCTATTTTATTTTTAATTAATGTTTGCAAGCTACTTTGAGCTTCTCTGATGAAAGGGCTTAAAAAAAGTACAAAAGTTCAGATGGTTATTAGTCCAACATGCAAGAGGGCAAGACAAGGAAGTAAAATGAGACTATGGGAGAGAAAGGAAACAGCTCCATTTATCAGGCACCTGGGATATGGAGGTAAATAATATTGAAATTTTATAAAACTTAAAAGATTGAGACAAGCATACTGCTCTGAGAAATGGCAGGGTCCCAATTCATGTGCTGTCTAGAAGTTTTCCATGGAAATTGAGAAACATCTTCAAGGAGTGTCAGTTACTATAGTTTTATAATACAACTCTGGCACTCCATTCTAACTGAGGATTGGTTTTACATGTTGACAACAGGCTATTCTCGTCTCCTCCCTCCTTGCCCTACATAATTCTGGGATACAAAAGCTGTAGGCAAATCCATAGAGTCTTATTTGCAATAGTTGTGAATTAGATTCCCATTAAGACAGCAGCAAAATTCTGGGCCCAATTTAATTTAAAAATAAAAAAGAGGTCCTATAATAGCAGCTACGTGGTAATATTAGGATTTCACAAGATTTGTAATGATGTGGGTGGCACACAGTTTGATGTGAGTTCTGTTCATTCTGATCTACTGTAAGATAAAGCCCCAGGCCTTTAAAATAAGTTTCTGTCTGTAGTGTTCTATTTTCATTCACTGTTGCTCAGTGGCTGATAATGGCTAAAAACCAAAGGAATTTAGGAGCTGCTTTGAAGTCAGCAGGAAATCCTGATATAAAAAAAAAATTGCAGCCATTGGGGAGTAAAGCGTATCTTTTAATAACAAAACATGAGTGTTTTGACTTGCATACCCTCAGTCATCTAACTGGCATAGGGCTGCCACACCTCGATTTATCCAGTGTTTCTCAGGCTTGTCTGAAGGGAGTTCAATTGAGAGAACATAGTTGGTTGAGTGGCCAGTAGTGGATAATACACCTCTTCTTGCACTTGTCTTGTATACAGGGCATGAATAGATGTTCATATGAAGAAATGTGGAACTTTCTCCAGGTTTCAGCCAAATTATGGGCAAAGAATCATAAAGGATTTTTGGAAGTGATTCTCCAATTACCAAGGATTCTCTATTCCATCGTGCACCTTCCAAAAAAAGGCCTCTCACATAAGCCCCATCTTCTGGCATTTTCTCCATTGTGTGCTCCTGTTTCATCACCTAGAATGATTAAACCATTGCTTGATTTTATTTTTATCTGGAGTATAATAAATCCTATAAGTGACAGTCTGAAATTGCTCCTTTAAATAAAATTTCTCTTCATTTGAAAACTCTATTCCTTGCTGCCCCTGAACATGTGTCAAGCTGTTCAAGAAAAACAAAATTCCTCTGCATTTTCTTACCTCAAATTCAAATCCAATATGGTCAATCGGGATGGTATATTTTCTGGCATAGTTTTGTAAAACACCAGTCAAAAAAGACTGAGTGAAGAAGAATCCCGAGAGCCAAAAGACTGTGGGCGGCCCATTGATGACCCAATCCTGAATATGGAGAGAAAAAAACAAAACATAAGAAAAAATATATTTGTGGCTTTACTGTGCCAATTCACCCAGAAAAGGGATGTCTTTTCAGATACAAACAGCACAATGAGATCTACGATGAGATATACTACCATTAGTTCTATATTTTTCAGACACAACAAATGACAGAAGTCAGTTATTTATGATGATGACAAAAATAGTCATTCTGAAACCACCAAAACCCAGTGCTACTGAGAAAGAAGTTTTGGAAAGTAGCATAAGCATATTTTGGTAAGTCTAGATACTAGCCAGCCAAAAAAAAAAGAAAAATTACTGAATTTGGACAATTTCGTCAACCCTCTTTTACAATCTTGTAAACACCAATCTCCAACCATGAAAAAAGGCCAAATTTTCT